GCCGCTTCCCTCACCCTAACCCAAACCAAATGCGATCTCCTTCGTTGGTTAATTACCATAAAAGGTTGACCCTGTTTCAAACATTCAGTAGAGGAGTTGCAATCTGGGGCGCGTAAAGCGCGTGAAACCACGGAAATCATATCCTTTTACTGTAGATGTTTAGGACCAAGCTCAGAAAAGAGTAAGACCCCCAGGGCATTGGGCGACATTTTCCGCGGGAGGTTTCCTAACTCCTTCAACGTTTAGTCCTAGTTGCTCACTGGGTGAATACTACTTTTCGTAGGCGTTTATGTCATCTTGCACAAGAACTCACATCTTATACAGAACACCTAAAGAAACAGCGTAGAAATAACATGTTTTCCGCCGGTGGAATGATTGGCCCTCGCAGTTGATTCTATTGATTTACAAGTCTCATCTACCAATTATCAACTATCACTATGAACCACTGGTTACCAGATTCACTTGGAGCCCGTCGTCAATCGTGGTGTATGGTCTGCGCTTCTGGTTATCTGAAACAGAAGGTACCTGCATCTCTCTCCACTCCACTCCAGATCAAGTCCACACGATCACTCTCAAGTCTGTAGCGTGTACTACACCACAAAGAGCGTAACTTCAACGCAAAACTGACGTACAGCGGGCCTGTAACTTGCGCCCCACAAGATAAAATGAGTGCTATCAATTTTGAATTCCCGATCGTGTAGCTTACATAGTTCAGGAAGCGAACCAAACATTGCCACAAAAGACCACACCATTCCCAGTTAGCCCAAGGCCATTTTTTGATGAAATAAAAACATTTAAAAACATTCACTGGTTTTCTAATAGAGTTTCTCTGAATTTAACTGATGGGTGTCTCGAATTTAGAAGCTGTTCTTTTTTGAATCAACACTATATCTGCAGTGAGAAAGCATCAAGTAACACCACCATAACTTCTACACAATCAAGTTAATCTGTATGTACAAAACAATGAGATAAACAATGCTTGCTTTTAAATAAATAAACGTGGACAAAACAAACCGAAAATGAAATATGACAAAAATATTTAGATGAGATCCGCCATTTCTTTCATGAATTCGTTGTATGCTTCATCCGTTGTTTTTGCCTGCTGAGTCGCCTCTGTTTGAGGTCTTCGAATTGCTGGCTTCGGTCGGACACCTGTTGGCTTACGCTTGAGCACCACCGGTACTAGCTAAAAATATAATTAATTTGAAGAAATACTCTAAAAAGACCACATAAAATATGCCAAGAAATGATAATGTTTGTGTTATATAAACCGCCAAGTCGATGTGTCTGTTTGTAGGTGTGTACTTGTCGGGGTGTTTGTCTATCCGTAAGCAAAATGAAGTCATGGAATAAGCAAGCCGCTTAAAAACCGGGAAGCTCGCAAAATTGTGACCCCGACGGCTATACAACCACCTAGTGGGCACACTCGTCGCTCCATTTGGTGCTGCAGTAGTAGCTGAGGGGCAGCGCAGGGAAGAGGGAATGGTGAAGAGTGTAAGAAAACCAATACCAAATGACCTAAGTTCCAATTAAGTGCTGAGATGTCATTCTGGTACTCACAACAGTAAACCCTAGTAATATCGAATAACAACATTGAACAAGCAATATTTGCTATAGGAAGAAGATTTTACCTTCACTGTTTCCTTTCTTAGATTTCTGAGTTGCGGAGCAGCAGAAACAACGGTGGGTGCCTGAGGGCCAATCACAGGCGGATGCTCACGATCGCGTCGAATGACAGGCGCAGAAGAGATCACAGCGCCTCCTGAAGAAAAACTGTCTAACACCTCACATCACTTTGAGAAACGTGGTGACTTTCGAGCTTAAAGAAACTTTCATCAAAGAAATATCCGAAAACAGAACAACCTCCATCGTTTTGTGTAGCAGGTGCAGGTGCTGGAGCGGGCAATGGAGGCATAGGAATACCCATAGGATTGAACCTCGGTGGCACCGGACCTGGTGGAGGTCCAGGGGCTGAAACAGCAAGAATGCAGTGTAGATTCAAACAAATAAATATCTAAAAAGAGCTTACGCTGTCGAAGAGGCATAATTGGCGGGAATTTAGGAAACTTGTTTGGACCATCGAAGTCAGGAACTAAACAATTGGGAATATTTTTTTTACTGTGCGAGAAGACAAATTATGATTCTTAGTGTTATAAGCGGGGATACATTAAGACATCCAATACGAAATATCTTACTTATCACAGGCGCTAAATCGTCGTCAGCAGGGAGAGGTACGTGATAAGGATCGTGCTCGTTTTCGCCCTCGCCTTCGCTATCGCTCAGATCCGGAGGAATACCACAAGGAGGTCCTGGCGGGCGCAGTCCTTGCCGTCGAGGTCCCCCACGTGGTAGCTTGAATTCAACCTTCTTCCTGAATTTCAACATTACAAACATCTCGGAAAAAGCAGCATATAAGGTTATATATTCAACGCGCATGACTAAAAGCTAAGAGCATGTGTATTCAAAAAACCAACAATTATAAGAAAATCATGAATGCCAACATAAAGCCTTCAAATGAATCGGAAAATGAATCAAACAAATACGCGATTAGAAAAAAATTACTTGACAGGAGCCATTGGCTGCGGACCCATAATCTGCACCTTGCGCAATTCTCCTTCCGCAAGATCTCCTTCGGGAAGAGGAATAAAGTTGACATCGGCATTTCGTGCAAGACGCTCCTGCTCTGAACTACTGTATTATACCTTCCTATTCATTTTCTTTATTCATAATTTCAGATCACCTTCACTAACAATAAGACCACTATCAGATTAAGTTAAAAAGAAGCAAAAACAGTAATGAAGGGTTACGCATTCATTCTCTGCCGAGGCGAAAACCATGCCTCGCAGAAATTCCAAAAATGGCTCCAACATCAGACCCAGACTGAAAGACCAAAAGATGAACACCACCGCCACAACAAAGGTGTTCAAAAGTCGCGGAAGAGCAAGTGTAATTCCAGACGTCGCTTCGAAGCAGAATCCTCGCTTGAGTTCTGTGGCCAACCGAGGGCTGAACGACCTTGGACACAGAATCTAGTCAGAATAGGATGAATGCAAGATCGCTAACAAGGGAGACTTGAAAGGTTGCTAAATTGATAACGTGTAAAAGCATTCAAATCTTGTCCTTCAGAAACTGTGCTGGAAAAGAGCCGAAGCCAGAGAAAACAGGAAAGTTGTGGAATTATACATTAAAGAGGCCACCGAACGGAATGGCGTTGCCGTAGCGAGAGCGGAGCCTAGTAAAGATTACATCCCCGTAGTAAACAGGAATAAGGATCGAATCATTGCTGGAAGGATAGAAACAAAGGTGTGCTGGCCAATACCGTCCAAGAATTCACAACAATCTGACTGTTCAAAAGTAGGTAAGGATGGAGTTCTGTCTGAGCCTAACGATTCCAACGAATCTATTTCGCAAGGTGTTTCGCTCACAAAAGGAAGGATACCGGTTGCCTGGAGAACATATGCTGTGGTTACCCTTCAAACAGCCGGGCTAGAATGTTCCAACCATTGGAGTCAAATCAACAGGAACAGTTCGGGAACATGCCAGAAGAGCCAGAGCGTACGCTGATATTGTCGCTAGCATGTGATGGAAAGTATCGAAAAAGCGCCGACTGTACTACCTGGCTTTCCTTTACCTGCAAAAGATGCTGAACTGTATTGCAATTACTGCTCTAGGAGAGGGAGCGGAATGTACCAGAACACTTAATTTCTAAGGTGATGTCATGTCGATGGGTTTGAAGCAGCTACGCATCCAAAACAGCCCAAGGAGGTTAAAATCACGAGGTGCGCACCAAGGATCAGGCTTGAACCTGCTCCTCTTTCTCTAACATTGAAAGTCATGGTGAAGGGGCTAATGGAGGTACCATGAAAACAACTTCTAAGTTTACAACAATGCCTTGATTGTGAGCAGCAGGGAAAACTTCATGGCTGTTAGCAAAAATGGAAGGAAGTACTGTTCGAAGAAAATAGCAGTCCCGCCACGGGGCAGAGTCTGAAAAGATGAGCATTTCCGGTAGCTGAGAAGCAACCTTGTCGCCGATGGAAGCGTGGACCAGGTAATGATCAGTATAAACGCAGCATTTCTAAGAATGAAACACCCAGACGGCACTCCAGAGCGCTCAGCGTGTCGTGGTAAGAGTTGCGATGCTAGGGCAGCGAGTGCTGGTCAGTAGACAGAAATCACGAAAGGCTCGACTCCATCAAAATTAGAGCGATGGGATCGACTTGCGGCAAACGCGATGCGACAGCGTCAGGAACAAACAATTCAGGACGGTCATGCAAACTGCTCTGGTCAGTTAAACGTTCAAGTGTAACGACTTGATGATGTGGACTCTTGCTGAGAAGGCCACAGAATCACCCCGTAACAAAGACAGTCGAATTCGAAGTGCAGAGCAAACGACTGTGAAGATTCTCCAAGAGGGGATTAAACAATGGGCTGAGACTGCTACATACGGTCGCTGAAGTCAAAATAAAGGCGGTAGATGCCTTGGGTAAAAGCAACAAAGGGGACCTTGCTGCGGCGCAGGGTAGGGCAGATGTCAGAGCGCGCGACTTGAGAGGAAACACTAGCGACTAGAGGAAATACTGTGATGGCGAGTAAATATAAATTCTTTCAATTTTGGTTTTTTGCGTTTCTTTTCTAATTGACTCTGACATCGGCATAAGAGAAGAAAAAACAAACAAAAATTTAAAAAGGATACCTCACCTGCAAGCGCTTGAAGTTTTTTGCAGTCCGAATAGTAATGGTGCAATTTCTCATTCAATTCTTTTAGTTCCTTTTCTTCTTTCAAAGTTTGCAACACCGCTCGTCGCTTGTTTACCATTTCCATAATAGTCTGAATAAGCATCAACTCCACAGCCGAAACAAATTTTGCAAAAGTTGAATAATAACTCAGAAAACCAATGAGAAATACAGGTTTGACGCTCACCCTCTGCTTTTTCTTCAACACATCAATGTGAAACTGGGGCTTGTCGAGCCCTACTACTGAAAGGAAAACACGGTGAAATCTGATTTAATCGTGAAAAAGGAAAATCTATCCAGAAAAAAATATATATATGAAGATAGAAAATCGTTATAGGCAAGCGAAAAATAAGCGGCTCACTCTGTCTTTCGATGGCAAGCATTTTACTCGTTGAATCGTCGACGTCATAACATTTTGCAATTGTCTGTCGGATTTGCTGCCTGTCTCGTTTGTTTTTCTTGTTCTCACGTCTTCTCTCGAGTTTTCGTGCCTGTGAGAGAGAAATCACAAAGTACAAAGAAGTGAAGAGCATTTTACCTTAAGATAGTGACGACAGAAGAGCAAAAATAGCTATTATCGCATATCCTTAATATATTCACGTATAAATGTTTGCTTGAGGGTATCTCCTTAATGTCACCCAACATCTTGGTTTCCCAAAACCAAACTTGAATCCCTACGTTGTCTACAGACCAACCGCACAAAGAACCTTGTTTTAGTGTAAAGAAGGAGAAGAGCTCAATATTACTTACCTGATGTGGACACTGGATTGAGTTACTCCAAGAATGTTACCTTTTTCAAACATATTCGTTTGTCCAAAGTGTTTCTCGATGTTTTGCTCTCAATTCTAAGACTGCTTAGGTAACGAAATACTCATATACTTGGCTTAGTAAAGTACGAACAAAGCCTAACAAACATATCCATTATTAACATATTATTATCCATATCCACTATTAGCGCCGCTACATAAATTTTCTTGTAGGCGAGGAGCACGTATAGGAAGCTTTCACAGTCACAAAGCAAGCCGATCATAGAGAACGAAGATGACTATGAAGCATCAATGTTTTGGAAAGATCCGTGACAATATGTACCTAACGACCCGGCGTTGCGCTTAGAGCGCTATGCATAGGGAGGCATTCGCATGGACAGAGCTTAATCTTCCAAAACCATGTTAAATGTTAATCCCTATTTTATATATTGATCGGTACTTCTTATACAAGAATGTGCACACCTCAAACCTTCCTCTCACACGCAAAAACTGGTGCCGTTGCTGGGTGAATTTGATGTCGTTGCCCCCGATGCAAAAATTCCTAAACCCCCCCCTCCCCCAACGCAACATCAGCGCCCAACAAAGCAATAAGTAAAACTTCGTTAAAGGCTATTACGAGTTGGCGAAGCGACCTAAAACAGCGAGAAAACACCAGTTCAGCTTCCATGCAGTTATTTATCGCGCCTCAGGACGATATTTTGTGCCTACCTCAGTAAATGTCATCGAATCTTAGCGTAAAAATGAACTTCATAGACGCGAAGATTAGATACGGAACACACAAAACTAATGTAGATAGCGGTGACAGCCCAATAAACGAAGTTCAGTGAGACTTAGAAAAATGAAAAAAAACCAAATAATTAGTTAGTAAGAGATACTATCGGTGGCGACGGAAAATTGCCGCTTTTCGTTTTGAGACGACGGCAGTTTCTTAAATCATGCATAGTTCATAGCATAACAAATCCAAAGTCACTACGAGGGGAGGTCGTTCAGGGCGTGGAGCGCTTTTTGAAAACGGTTTTTTGCATGAAATAGGGGCAGGTGCAGTGAACACAGATCTATGGTCCATTTCCGCTAAATGGCCTTCTGAATGCCAAAAAAGGAGTGAGAATCATTTTGTTGGAAACTGCAGTTTTTACTTGTTAAAAGTGGTGTGTTTCATTCATGGCGTGGACTACTTGCGTAATGGAGGGTCTTCGTAAGGTGTGTCTCGAAAACATCGAGAAGTTTGGTCAAAATTGGAAAGTTGTCGTGGTGATGTCATGCTGTGTACTAAAGAGCGTGTGGAAGTTCCATAAGAGCATTTGGCCAACATCCTCCAGCAGCGTCGGTGGTGTAGTGGTTAGCGATGCGGATTTCGATTGGCACGCTTGGTCTGGGTTGGTGGTTCGGATCCCCGAGGCGTCGGGCTTTTTGCATTCTTTGTAGGCACTTCACGATTTTCTCCAAATAGCACAGGTGTCAAAATGGATGTGTTACTAAAGACCAGAACTATTGATAACCCAGATTAGGCAAGTTTTCACCGAAAGCAGGAAAAAAAAGTTGTACCGTTGGAATTTCGCCGGTACGCAGAGTCCCAAAACAATACCAATTGTGACAAGAGCACCAATTTACCTCTGGCCAACGTTTCGAAAAAATCATCTCTGGCATCTTTGGCCTAACTCTTTGAAAACTTGACATAAGTAAATCTTCAAGTATTCCCACTCGCTCGGAGGCGAGCTCCGCACGGAAAACTGGCAGAAAACTACTGCACTGTGGTGACCCTCCGACCAACACCAGCTTGCTTGTCTGCTATAGTCTATTCGGCAGGAGCATGTCTCATCTTTTGAATACTATCTATGAGATGATGTCATTTCCAAGAAGTTCACCGTCGAGCTTTACGTGCCACAGAGTTTACTTATCCATCTAGCAAATTTTCGAAGTCGGGCCAAAATCTTGATTTTCTTAGAAACATCGACTAGAAGGGTTATCAGGTGCCCTGATCACGAATCCAATATTCGTTTCCGGCTCCGACATCATTTCGGGCCCCTATGACGTTCTTCGACGGCACCTTGGTGAAGTTTTTGCGTCACAACTTTCTCTCACCAGTTTTTGGTAAAAGCCCACTTGTAAGGGTTTTTGTAAGCCTAATTGTAATTATGACATCAATTGCTGGTGTTGGCGTTCTTCGGTGCCAATTTTGTGGCGTCAAATCACAGTGCAAAAATTTTGTCACCGCGGGGAATCGAACCAAGGACCACTTTCCCACCCTTTTTTGGCGTTCAGTGGGCCATTTAGCGGAAATGGACCACAGTTCTGTATTTCAGGCACATGCCTCTATATCATAGGAAAAACCATTTTGAGAAAGCGTTCCACGCCCTGAACGACCTCCCCTCGGAAAATTTTCAGAATGTTCGAGAAGGGACAAAGACGCAATATAGGACATATAAGAAAGAATGTCAGTTAGGATATTTTCTACTATTTTATTCTTTCGTTGTCGAAAACCCTCATGATTCATGAGTGACTTCAGACAGGAGTCGCTCAACTCCTGCTTCATTTTAACTCACATAAGACAAGCATCGAATGTAACCCACCCTGTGCTAAAGACCGTAACTCCCGCTATGAAAATCAGCGAATAGCCGCGGATGCCGACGACATTCCCAAAATACTTGCCCTTGGGAAAAACGCCTTTCAGAGTCTTCCAATTTGAATATTCAAGAACATTTCAACATCATAAGAAACATAACAAAAAAAGAAACAACTGAACTCAAAGATGGACAGCGACTTCATACAAAAAGCCGAATTCATAAAGGGCTGGCCTTAGTTATCATCGGAGCGCGATATTTCAGTAGAGCACTTATTCGCATGCATGGGTACATTGATCATCTACCAGGGTCAACCCTACCGTTGACACTTTTGGAACTTTTCACCCTCCCCCTTTTTCTCGGGAGTCTTGATACCACCCCTCTCTGTGAGCGTGTGTGTATGGGAACATAAATTACATATGGACGGAGAGAAACTCTGGAGCGCGTGAGTACTTCCCGTTCTCCCCGATGTTTCTGTCCCAATCAAATGAATTCGATGAAATTTGCACCTGCCTTTTTCGATGGTCATGTTTCTTCATATTCAAGGTTGTGCGACGAAGTAAAAAGATCAGGAAAATTCGAATCATTCTCTCCAAAAGTCGCTGACTGTTCCTTAAAAGTCATTTATTAAAAAATGAGCACATTGGTACTTTTTTCCGTGCACATGCGAGTTTTTTTTTCCCTTCAAACGACCGCAACTTCGTTCATACTCCTTAATTTGGAAAGCTGAAGCAAGGACATCTTCAAGGTTCAAGTTCAAAGAAGTACTGAAACTTATGTGAAAAATCACCGATTCGGAATTTGGGTTTTTTGGGGAGGTTTGTGTGATTATTTTTTTTTGACCGCGAGTTTTCAACCTTAAACGATCACAACTTCATTCAGTCTCCTTAATTTGGAAAGTTCAACCCGTTTGACTAACAAGTTTCAAGCTTTTTAAAAATGCTAAAATTTATCCAAAAATCACCGGTTCAAAAACCAATCCCGTTGTAACTCTTTTTGGAGGGGTAG